AATTCTTCATTATTTTAACACGTCTGGAGTAGAGTGTGGAATTGTATTAATTAGATTGTATTAGATTTTGGAGTTATATTAGACTACAGGCCTGGTGCATGAAATTCGTGCACTAGAGTGGGGGGTTCCCCTCAGCCTGGCCTGCACCCTCTCACAGTCCAGGACCCCTTGGGGGATGTCCACCTGCCGGCTTAGGCCCAATCACCCTGGGAAGCAGGCCTAAGCCAGCAGGCAGACATCTCTCTTGCCGTCCAGGAGCCCTCACTCCTTACCGCCAGCCTGCTCGCTGCTCCTTACTGCTCGGCTCACTGCTCTTTAGTGCTGCCGTGGAGACAGAAAATACTTCCACCACCGCCACTGCACTTGCCAGCCATAAGCTCAGCTTCTGGCTGAGCGGCACCCCCGCTATGGGAGTGCACTGACCACCAGGGGGCAGCTCCTGTGTTGAGTGTCTGCCCCCTGGTGGTCAGTGCACATCATAGCGACCGGTTGTTCTGGTTGTTCTGCCATAACGGTCTCTTAGGCTTTTATTATATAGATTAAGTATATAAAAACAGAATATTAAAAAAAAGACAAGTATTATAAACAAAATAGTAATCATAGTTAAAATGTTGTCTCCATTACCTAGGACATTTACATAAATAATATAAAGTTACTGAATTTAGATCTACTATTAAATCCCCCAAATGATGTAACCATATTAGTAAGATAGAAAGGACAGGAATTATGTTTAGAGTGGGGGAAAGTGGCCTTAAGGGAAGGCGGGGAAGAGCTATGTCCCAAATGAAGTAACAGGGGATGATATTTACCCTCCTAACTGAAACAATTAAAAAAAAAAAAGAAGAAGAACAAAATATGTGGGGAAAATGCTTTTTAAGACACTAAACATAAGCAATGAACAGCATTGATTCCTGAGAGCTGGGAAATAAATGAAGTAAGGCCCTGCTTACTGCAGAGAGAATGTTTCCAGGCCATGGCCTGGAGAGGAGGAACCTGGGTGGATCCCAGGGGACATCCTGACTTGAGGAGGCAGGGCTGGGAGTCTAAGGAGGCCAAAGCAGCCAGCGTTTTCAGGCCAGAATTCCAAGGAAGAGAAAGAGTGGAGAGACCTACAGGTATCTACAGAAAGTCCCCCTGGAGTTTTCTCCCCGGTTATGTGAGAAAACTATCCAAAGTCAGGCAAAGAACTATGTGAAAGGATTTTCCAAAAAACTATGGGAAATTCCCAAAGCTAACACAGAGCTAGTTCCAGTTTCTCCTACCCAGAGTGGGAACCTTCTAATTCATGGGCATCAGGTATAGTACTCACAGCATTTTGCCTCAATAGTGGAAAAAAATTAGTCCTAGAATAAACACTGTCATCGTCTCTCCTAATGCGGATTAAAATAAAGATTCAAATGAATCAAACTGTTTTCAAGGAATTTAACTGCATTCCAAAACAAAGTTCCGAAATACAGAGTTTTGTATTTAAAGGAATACAAAGGTATTGAGCTATCAAAAAGATAAAATAACAATGTCTAGCATCCAGTCAAAAATTTCCAGATATACAAAGAAATAGTAAAATATGACTAATGAAGGGAATAAAACCAACCAACAAAGTGAAAATGACACAGAAAATAAAAATTAATAAACAGTAGTGTTAAAAGAATTATAATTACTCTATATCATATGTTAAAGGCATCTATGGAAAACTTACAACTAACATCATACATAATAGTGAAAGACTGAATGTTTTCCTACTAAGACCGAAAACAAGGCAAGAAAGTCTGCTGTTACTACTTGTATTTGAAACTGTACTGATGATGTTCTACAATGAGGTAGATCAGTGATTCCCAAAGTGGGCGCTACCGCCCCCTGATAGGCACTGCAGCGATCCTGGGGGGCGGTGATGGCCACAGGTGCATTTGGGGGCGATGAGTAACTGCTATTAAAATTTTTAAAAAATTAATTTCCAGGGGCTGAGTAATATTTTTTCTGGAAAGTGGGCGGTAGGCCAAATAAGTTTGGTAACCACTGAGGTAGATAAAAGAAAGACATTCAGATTGGAAAAGAAGTAAAACAGCCTTTCTTCACAGATGTTATGATTATCTATGTAGAAATTCCTATAGAAACTACCAAAAAAAAAAGGTTGCTCTAATTAAGAAGTACGTTTAGAAAAGTTGTAGGAGCTTAAATATACACATACCAATTTTTTCTGTATGATAGCAACAAACAAATTGAAATTAAAAACAATACAATTTACACTAGCAACAAAAATTACTAAATACTTTGGTTCACTTTGACAGAGATGTGCGAAACCTGTACACTGAAAAATACAGTCAGTCTGAAAGAAATTAAGGGAAACCCAAATTGATCTATAGATTCAATGCTACCTCAATCAAAATCCCAAAAAGATTTTGTAGGAATTGGAAACCTGATTCCAAAATTCATAAATGGAAAAATGTTGTCTTGAACTTCATCAACATTAAGAACTTTTGATCTTCCAAAGCCATTTTTAAGGGTATAAAGAGACAAGTCCCAGAATGTGAGAAAATATTTGCACAGTACGTATTCCACAAAAGACTTCTTCCCAAATTGCATGCTTTAAACATGTGTAGTTCATTGTATGTCACTGAAATCTTTAAACTTTTTTTTAACTGCTTATTTTCCATAGTGGGATGTTTAACATTAAGAATTAGAAATATTAGCAGTTAGGTTAAGGATATGACATTTAAATACCAAAAGAATCAGCTAAAAGTTAAAAATATTTTTTCTAGAGTAATTACTTGGGGAATGGGGTAGAACTGACAAAGGTTTTCATAAAAAACCTTTTGGAAGTTTCCTGTTAGAATGTGTACATATATTACTTTGATGAAACTACATACTTACATCTAAAAGTGGCTACGTAAAAGGAACATCTTAATCATAGGACAGGTCTACGCAGGCTCATTTATCTGAATATTTAATGTACTAAAGTAGGAATGAGGAGGATTTCAATTTATTCCTATTAGGGATTAAACTTGGTTGAATTTTATTTGATAATTTAGGGTTTTTTTCCCCACTTTATGTTGCTATTATAGAGCTGTCAAAGTGGTAAAAACCCAAAATATTTATCCTGAAAGGCAGGCCAAAATGATTCCCTTTTAAAACTTGTAAAGATTAATTAAGGTTCTGTGTCGTTATTTTCTGTACTTTATTGATTCAGGATTACTTGTACTCTATAAATGTGTTGAATTATTTACACATCATGGGCAGCTAATGCTAATTCAGAACATGCCCAGTGGGACCTCAGAGCCCTGCAATGCTAAATGTAATCTGGGGATCAGTAACATTCCATTCATAAAATGCATCACCCACAGGTTAATGGAAATAAACAATAGGCAAGACAATGAGTGGATTATGCAAATACACTGAAAAGATTTAAGCAAGGGGAGGGGACAACAAGAACCCAATTTGTGTTTTATTTAAACTCGGATTAAGGTTTATGGTATACAAAATGATTAAAGCCACTTTGCTAATTTGCTAATGCTCTAAGAAGCACCACTACACAGGGAAAACTATCAAAATAGATTGGCCGTGGCTTTTTTTGTGTGTAGGAGAGGCTAATAGGGTGCAAAGAGATGAGATTAAGTGAAGGAAACTTTTAACATGAAATGAACAGTATTCTGAAGAAAAATTTGAGTGATTAAATTTACAAGACATTTATTTGCATTTATCTGAGACAAATAAAAGTTGCATGAAACTAAAACTCAGGCTTTATATTCAACTACTGCTCTGTGAGAAATCTTTTTCATTCAAATTCGGTCCTATAAAACAAATTCAACTTAAAACACAAGTGCCTTTTAGGAAAACCTGTTCAAATGATAGTGTGAGAAACAAATTTCATTGTGAATTACGTCTTAGATAATATGTCCACCAAGCCCCTGAATAACGGCCAAGGACGTGGCAATAAGGAAATCTTTTCAAGTTGTTGGTTTGGAGATTTCTAAGCCTGTGTAAGGTGCAGCCTGGGGACAGCCCAGTTGCTGGTAGCACTTGGCCTTGGAGCTGGAGCAGTGGTCTGGGAAGGTTCACCAAAGCCAGGAGTCCCAGCAGGAGTGACCTGAAGAGGGGACCCCCCCCCCCGCCCCTTGTAAAGAGCAATCACCTGTCATCACCATGTGGCAGTAACTTCTGAGGAGCCCACTGGAGCTCCCAGCCTCTGGCCCTGACGTCAGAACATCCGCATAACCTGCCCTTCAGTTGTGGGTGTGTATCAGGGATGCATGCGCCTGAAGAACTCGGGATAAATGACTCTCCTGGCATAAGGGTTTTGTGTTTTGTCGGGGGAAGAGGGAGAGTAGGACACCGGTGTGGACAGGCAAATGTGAGGGAAGGGGGGAGATGGAACCTTGTTTGTCTTAGAAGTTATGTCAGTTGTGTGTTTCCATCTTAAACCACAGGGAGAAATGGGGGAAGTTGTTTCAATGTTATTATAGAAAAGAAATTATTAGGGAATACTTTTTAAAAAAATATTTTTTTATTGATTTCAGAGAGGGAGAGAGAGATAGAAACATCAGTGATGAGGGAGAATCATTTATCAGCTGCCTCCTGCATGCCCCAAACTGGGGATCAAGCCCACAACCAGGGCATATGCCCTTGACCGGAATTGAACCTGGGACCCTTCAGTCCACAGACAGACGCTCTATCCACTAAGCCAAACCGGCTAGGCTCTTAGGGAATGCTTTTTAAGTATCTCTTTACTCATAGAACCCTGGTGGTTCTTCTCTGATTATTATATTCTTTATGTACATGTGTCATCAAAACTTTAGAACCATTTTCATCATAGTTCGTACCCTTATTAAGACATTTAAATCATGGGACTAGGTAAAGGTCGGCATTAAAAGTTTCCTGGATGGGCTGATGCTATTTTAACCACTTGCCATTGTTCTTCCGTCATGCCAGGTAGTAGAAGAGGGGATGATGGTTTAGCAGTTTGGATATTAAAGGTTTGACCTTTGTTCCTCCTTTTGTTTTTGAAGATACTGCTTTCCCTTTGGACGACCTGAGGGTGCCCTGAAAGCTACACTGTCCTTACTTGAAAGGGTATGTTTCAACATTCCTTTACAAATACTGTTTCCGCTGTCAGTTGCTGGGTGTCTGAACTAGGCAGCCAGTCTCATTCCCCAGGCCCAGGAGTGTGCTCCCCTTTGAGTCCATTGCGTTTCACCAACCTCTCACATTTCCTTGCTATCTTCAAAATTCCCCTATCCCCTGCTGCTTCCTCCCAAGGCCTTTCTGAAGCGCACCTTGGCTTCATATGCTAAGTTGATGGCATCTTTTTGGTCATTTTCTATTTTTCCATCTTTTTTCCTCCCCTCATGAAATAGGTGTGGTAGTTTTTTTCAGTCAAGGTAATGAACTGTTTTTCAGACCTCACGGTTGTCTCATCCTTCCCCCTGACTTGTGTGTACTTCTACCGGTCATCGTCCCAGACCTAAACGAGTTTATCATTTAATATTCAACAACATATCATTCTTTTTGTTCTAAAATCATCGCAGAATTTATTTCAGTTCAATCTGTGTGTTGCTCTAAATGAATTCATGAATTGTAGAAATTCATTTCCCCTCGAAAAAATAAATAGCAAATAAGGTTTCATGCCATGCTGAAAATTTGTCTATTAATGCAAGTATATTCTCCACTCCTGTTTTTGTGATAGATTAGGTTTGAAAGGGAAGTATCATTTTCATCTGCTTGTAAAACTTTTCGTATGCTCATTGGAAGCTAACAGGTAAGTGGGTGGCCAGTTCCTATTCCTTATCAGTGTTAAAAGACAATGGCTATGCCCTAGCTGGTTTGCCTCAGTGGATAGAGCATCGGGCTACGGACCAAAGAGTCCCGGGTTTGATTCCAGTCAAGGGCAGGTACCTCGGTTGCAGGCTCCACCCCAGCCTGGGCCCTGGTCGGGGCTCATGCAGGAAGCAACCAATCGATGTGTTTCTCTCACATCAATGTTTCTTTCTGTCTTTCCCTCTGTCTTCCACTCTCCCTAAAAAAAGAAAAAGACAATAATACATAGGAATCATCTATGGCCCGTGATTTGAACATTCTGATGCTGATTTATCAACTTCAAGCACTTGTTCCTGTCCGTTTTTCAGCCCAATGAACTCTAGATTGCATTGTTTATTAGCACCTCTATGAAAACCCCACAGGGATTTTAGGGATTTAAGGGCTTGGGAGATGAGGGCTAGAACTAGTGGCTAAAATGAGGTCCTTCACATATAAATTGGTTTCATCTACATATCCCTGTCTTATCCTTGATTACTGTGCATTGTGTGAAAGAAATATTCTTGTAGGAATTACCTGTTTATTGATAATTTTTATAATATTAAGAGCTGCATGCAACCCAAGCTTTTCAAAGGATAAGTCTCATCCTGTTCATTAAGGTACATGGATAAGGTAAAACCCTAAAAGATAGCTTTACTTTTGGGAACCGCACCCCATCCTGGGTACCAGCCTCTCTGTGAGCTGGTTTTCACAGCAGAGCTTCCTCCTCCCCTCCCCACCCCCAGCAGGGAAGAGTCAGTGGTAGCAGCGATGCCCCATGCCCTGCACTGACGGGGCAGGATGGACAGTGACCTTTATTGCAGTTGTAGTCACTAATCATGTCTCGTGCTGAGGTGAGGGAGGAGTGGTAAAAGCCTTATCTTCATTTTCATGTCTCTGCACTTACTGACATCTTAGCAAAATAAAATAAAATCTACATGTGAATTCTTGATACTTAGTAAGAAATATTGCCTGGTTTCAACCCTGGACTCACCTCATTCTAACTTTAACAGCTACTTATTTCCATTATTTAAAAGGTTGTTACCATGGTAAGGCCTAGTGGTAAAGTGTATGATTCTGCCTATGGTACAAAATTAATCTGAAATTCAAATTTCAGTAATAATCACATAAAAATAACAGCGCATGCTAATGCTTGTACATTTTTTTACTATAAGTAGAAGGATTTTTCTGACTATAAAGAGTCTAATGTTCAGTTCAAAATAAAGTGCAAATATGTGTTTGTTTTAAAGATTAGTTCTATGAGCGTATGATGAATAAACGAAGTTGATGGCGAGGAAGCTTTCAAATGATGGAGTTTGTTGTTTTCAAAAGGAAACTTTGCCTAACAAAATTAAAATATGTTGTCAGGATCACCAGCGCTAGAACCACGGAATACATTTGAGATTATAAGATCCTTAGTGCCAAGACTTATGGAAAGAGAGAGAAATAATGAAGCAGGAAATGGGTGTTTTCATGTTCTATCGTTATTTCTTCCCCAATAAAAGACTAATAGGATAGTTAGAACCCTTAAGTATTGCCGTCTTTATAGTAACATTTTGCTATATACTTTATCATTTGAATGTAAGCAAATCAGGATAAAGCCATTAACTTTATGAAAAATAGAGTTTGACTAATAGTGTAATCAAAGCTGACTGTGAGTGGTTTTATCACTAGGAAAGTTATCAGTCATTAAATGAGTGTTTAAATACATTGTATTTTGAATTATGGGTATAACTGTATTTCCCCCTTACCAAGAGTAATATTTTTAAAGGGAAAAATCCAAAAACACAATTTAGGAACCCAACGGAAAATAGTCAGTTTTTTTTCTAAATTAGGAAGTTTCCATGTCTTTTAACACTTGATACTACATTTCACTGAGACAAGGAAGTTTTCTCCCTCGTGAGTAGATCATGGTAACTAAAGTTTAATTAGTGAAAGCGGTGGTCTTGGTTTTTATAGAGCACAAAAAAAGATGCTGCTTCTTAACGGAGTTCTGTTACTGTTTTTATCTATGTTGCTCAAAACACTTAAAGCTTTGAAATTAAGAGATACGGAGGACAAACTTTGTTTATTGCTTGTCCCAGCGATGGTAATCCTGATCTGAAACAGCTGCTCTCATGGTGTCCTGGGTCCCTGGGGGAAGAATGACAGTCACACTGAATGGTGGCTTGGCCTGTGGGAGGTTTTGATGTGCACAAATGAGGCTTCTACAGGAGGAGCCGAGATTAGAGGATTACTTCCCAGTTGTGAAGTGCGGACTAATTACTTCCCCCAGTGTTACCTGGGACCCCTCCTACTAATTAATAGTCAGGTCTAGAACAATTTGTATAATTTGTTTTTAGAATTTTATGCAATCTATCTCTCTCTCCCTCCCTCCCTCCCTCCCTCCCTCCCTTCCTCTAGGTTTTAATGAAAGATATTGCCACTCCCATACCAGCAGAAGAGGTGAAAAAAGTGGTCAGAAAATGTCTGGAGAAAGCCGCCTTGATCAATTACACTAGACTCACAGAATATGCCAAAATAGAAGGTCAGTGCAGTGAGCAATTGCCGAAGTGGCAGCAAGAGCCAACAATGCCTATTAACTGAATTTTCTGTGAGAAGCCCTTTCCTTTTCTGAACAAACCTGTGCCCTGGCAAAGGGAAATGTCTCATTAAAATCTCAGCTGGTGAACTGAAGAGCTTTTTCCTATTCATTGCTTTAATATGCCTCCTGGGACTCTGCTTGAATGAAAGACCCGGGATTCGTGCTTAAGTTGTCCTTTGTTCTTATTTTGAGTTTGCAAGGAACCAAGAGGTGTTTTCATGGGTTGTGTTTTTTGGCATTACTGTAAGTATGTCTAACATTTAAACTATGGACAGTGTATTCTTTCCTGATCAGTAACAGTGTAGTATTACATAATTTTATTTTCTATTCAGCAATATCATTCAGAGAAAGGGGGAAACTTGTTGATTATCATGAGGGCTGAAATAAATGGATAGAATTACTTGTAACTTTTAATTGCTTTCAGTATATTGATGTGTTGGAAGATTAGATCTCTTGAGAGGACTGTGCATTTTTTTCTCTTTTTTCAGGTTTTATTCATTGAGGAAACGGTCATTTAAGATGTTTAGAAATAAGTAGGTTGGAATTTGTGGCAAAGTCACACAAGCAGTTTTTACTCAACAGTCCTTTGATTGATATAATTAAAAGTAAAAGAAAGGACCCTAAATTTTCTGCTCTAATTATAAAACTAGCTTGTTCAACACATGTATCATTTACTTGGGGAGGAAAAAAGTTTGCAGTGTCGAATATTTATGTCTAAATATAAAAAGTAAATCGTTAGAAAAAACTTAGTCACTTTTAATATAAAATTTTACATAATGAATTATAAATGTATGAATTAGATGCTGTTATAATAGTTTCATCAAAATGGTGACAATGAAAAAAAGATGACTATAATTGGCTGTGTTATATCCTTTCTTCTCTCCAAATCTGATCCAGCTTTCTAACAAGCATGTGATAACCAACCTCCTGAGTGATTAACAAAAAAGCCATCCCATCACTATAGCAACCAATATTATATCACGAGAGTAACAACATGAAACCTCCTTAGTTACCAGTTTAACATCATTAATTATGATATCATGTTGTGTTAAAGCACAAGCAATGAATATTAGATCATGTGGGGAAAGTGGAAGATAAACAGATTGGTTTTCACATTTTGAATACTCATTCAGTTTTCACGTTTTGGGAATAATGGGTGTTGCGTACACGGATTGAAAGAATTAATATAAAAGTAGACATATTAAAACCTTTCAAATCTGGCAATGAGAAAAGTGTGGACAACCTGAATAAATACAGTATTGCTTTATCTAAATATTATGAATCCTATCAAAAAAAAGATGAAAATCTTTTTTAAAATTTATCTTTATTGTTGAAAGTATTATAGATGTCCCACTTTTTCCCCCACTGCTCCCCTCCACCTCACACCTGCACCCCCAGGCCTTCACCGTACTATTGTCTGTCCCCAACACACACACACACACCCACACACCCGCCCACTCTGAGATTTGTCAGTCTGTTCCATGCTTCTATGTCTCTGGATCTATTTTATTATTTTTGTACTTAACTGTCTACTTTAGTTCATTATTTTGACCATTACCTAATACTTTCTGGAACTCACCCTCTCCTATCTGAGAGTATTCTAGAAAATGGATCCTAGAAATCTAGTCAGGTAGGACTACTGAGCAGTCTCCTTTTAAAAAAACAAAAGGCATTCTTATTTGATGAGAAAAACTTCTATGCTTTTTATTATCTCCCTCCCCCCTTTTTTGTGTCTTAAAAAATAAAGAGCTTTTCTTTCATGCTTAGGATCAGACTAAGAACAAAGTCAAATTTAAGTTAGTAGGAAGTGGGCTACTTTTCTTGGCTGGATTGGCCTACTGTATTATGTGAGCAGCATGGGTAGAGTTTGCTTTTCTCCTAAATTGTCTTTTCTTATGTTCTAGGCCCAGCAGAAAAGGAGACAGGTAATTGATGCTTGTGCATGCACGTGTTATTTCTAACGTGTTGCTGTTGTGTTTTGGTATTATGAGTAGCTCTTTCCTTTTCAGGACTCCTATTGGATCACTTTAGGATGGTGAAGAAAACTTTGATTTTATCGGAACTATTGCTAATGCGTTGTAGGGGAAAGTATAGGCCATTTATCTCTGTAAAAGTTCAGCACTGGTTTCTGATATGAATTCAAAGCAAAACACCTGAGGCTGTGTTAATGTTATGCATTATTTTTTAAGCATAGACGCTAATCTTCTGTGGAAGCGGTTGCCAGCATTTGAAGGGCTCTTTCAGCTAGAAAAGAGGCCCATCTCTCCTTTATCACTCCTGAGAAATAACAGAGGGAAAAGCACCGATGCTGTTAAATGAAAAATAAGCAGCTCTTAACTTTGGAAGTTGTTAATCATAGGAAGGAGCAGAGGCTATGAAATCCCATCTCAAGAAATTTCTGGGAAAGAGTCTCTCTATTTTGAAAGGTTTTGTTACTTTTTTCTAGTGTCACTCATCACAGTTGTAACTTTTTTATGTTTGAATATTTTTGTTTATTGACTGAGAGAGAGAGGGGGAGGAAAGGAGAAATAGAGAGAGGGGGAGGGAGAGAAACATCGATTTGTTGTTCCACTTGTTTATGCATTGATTGGCTGATTCTTGTATGTACCCTGACTGCGTTCGAACCCACAACCTTGACGCATCAGGACAACACTCCAACCAACTGTGCTATTCAGCCAGGGCTGTAATTATTTTAATTACATTTGCTGTTATCTATTTATCCTACCTATCTCCTCTTCAGCCTCATGAAGGCATAATCCTGACTGAACTTGTTTTCCAAAGTCACTGTTGTATTCCCAGCATCCAGACCTATGCCACTGACATGAAGCAGGTACTTAATGCTTTGGAGAGAGACAAGAAGTTAGTTTCATCAGAAAACAATGGAGAAAGAGAAGAGCGATGAATGAACCTTTCCAGTCCCAGTTTGCTTATCTGCGTCAAATTTTGCATGCAGTGTTATAGACAAGTTTGCTTGGGTTGTTTTTAACTGAAGTCTTCTATTAAGGGCTTTGTTTTTTTCCCTACATTTTTCTATATATTTTTTTTTCTAACATATTTGACCCCTGAGAGAATCAGGAACAAAACACTCAGAGCCAGGAAAAGGGAAGAGAACACACCTATCATGCTGTCTAAAGGGCATTTTAGAAAAAAATGAGTTAGGAAAAAGGAATGAGACTGCCAGTCCCTTTCATGGCAGCCCATTGTGACAGCAACAGTCCAGTGCTCTTTAACAAACTTCTCCAAAACCTCTCGTGGCACTTTACCCCCCACAACCTTGCTGTGGTGAACACAGTTTTCATAGTTTGCACACAGTAGTCCAGGGTTGTTCGTGGCCCTCCCACTGCCCGAGCGTAAATAAGTCGGCCACCTGGGACGAGAGTCAGGTGTCCTGATCCCCCGCCTACAGGGCTCCGCTCCTTCCCCTGTGAAATATGAAGGGGTCGCAATGCACCTTCAGGAAGGATGGGGCGCACACTGTTGCCCTGTTCCCATTAAAGAGCCCAGGAAAGGGCATGTGCTGCCGTCCCCTCTTACCTCATTGCCACCAGACGGAAGCCTTCCCTTCACATGTATTGAACATCCACACCTCTGCTCAACTGGACAGCCTGACTCGAGGAAAAAGGCCTTGTAAAAATTAAATGCTTGCATAGAGAAGAGAAAAAAAAAATCAGAGTAGTCTCGGTAATTTAAGTGGATGGAACAGAAAGCTAATCTCAAGTGAAGAATGTTCTGAAGTAACAGAAGAGAGGTTTTTAAGAAATGTAGTTCTATTCCTTCAGTTGCATTTGGTTACGAGTTAACAGGGTTACTTAGAAATGATGTTAGGGTGCTTAGAAAAGTGAATAAAAATAAGGATATCAGTTGAATGTGTAAGAGCGCAAATGCTGGATAAGGCTTTCAAACAGCACTCTCTAGGGCATTATAATCATTATCCATTGTTAGTTTGTAGAAAAGAGTAAAATTCAGCCCAAGACTTGTCATCATGTTATCTATCCACTGCCTATTGCTCCAAAGATTTTTTTTTTATTTACATTGCTTCAGTAGTTCCTTAAACAATTCTTCAAACTAGAAATCAGCTATAATAAAAACACTCAGAAATATTCAAACACCTGGAGGCAAAATAGCATGTTATTAAATAATGAATAGGTTACCAATGACATCAAGGAATCCTATCTAATAATAGACAAACATGGTAGTTGACCGTACCTTCGCTACGCCTCCCATTGGCTAATCAGCAAGATATGCAAATTAACCGCCAACAAAGATGGCGGATAATTTGCATATGTAGGCACGAAGCGGCAAAGCGAAGGCTTGAAGGCGGCTCTGGCCGGAGCAGCAAAGGCTTGAAGGCGACTCTGGCTAGAGCAGCGAAGGCTTGAAAGTGGCTCTGGCCAGAGCAGCAAAGGCTTGAAAGCGGCTCCGGCCGGAGCGAAGGCCTGGCCAGAGGAAAACCGGTGCCAGCAGCCAGGGGAAGGGAAGGTCTATTGCACGAATCTTTTCGTGCAACAGGCCTCTAGTAAATTATAAACTTCCTGGAGACAAATGAAAATGAATATACAACAACCCAAAATTTATGGGACACAGTGAAAGCATTCCTGAGAAGTTCATAGCACTACAAGGCCTACTTCAAGAAATAAGAAAAATCTCTAATTATCTAACCCTAAAACTAAAAGAATTAGAAAGAGAATAATAAGAAAATGCCAGAGGAAGTAGAAGGAAGGAAATAATAAAGATCAGAATGGAAATAAATGACACAAAGACTAAAAAAAAAAAAAGTACAAAAGCTGGTTCTTTGAAAAGGTAAACAAGATTGATAAACCTCTAGCCAGACTCATTAAGAAAAAAAGAGAGAGAACCCAAATAAATAAAATCAGAAACAAATGAGGTGAGGTAACAACTGACAATATAGAAATACAGAGGATTGTAAGAAAATATTACAAACAACTATATGCCATCAAATTGGGCAAAATGGGCAAATTCCTAGAAACATACAATCTTCCAAAACTGAATCAGGAAGAATCAGAAAACCTGAATAGACCAATATCAACTAAAGAAATTGAAGAAGTAATAAAAAAAAACTTCCAGCCAGCAAAAGTCCTTGACCAGATGGCTTCAAAGAGGAGTTTTACCAAACATTCAAAGAACTAACACCTATACTCCTCAAACTATGCCCAAAAATTTAAGTAAAGGGAATGCTTTCAAGCTCTTTTTATGAGGCCAGCGTTATCCTAATCCCAAAACAAGATAAACAGACTACAAGGAAAGAAAACTATTGGCCAGTATTCCTGATGAACATAGATGCTAAAATCCTCAACAAAATATTAGCAAATCAGATTCAGCAATACATGTAAAAGATTATTCACCATGACCAAGTGGGATTTATTCCAGGGATGAAAGGCTGGTAAAATATTCAAAAATCAATAAATGTGATACATCATATAAACAATATGAAGGATAAAAATCTCATGATCCTATCAATAGAGGCAGAAAGAGCACTTGACAAAATCCAGCACCCATCTACATATATAAAACCTAAGCTACCGGAACACCAACACGACCAGAACGTCTGGTCGCTATGGCATGCATAGACCACCAGGGGGCAGACACTCGATGCGGGAGCTGCTCCCTGGTGGTCAGTGTGCTCCCACAGCCAACCTCCCGCAGCCCCTTCCCCTGTCCAGCAGGCCCCGGCTGGCGGCTGGCAGCCAGAAGGAAGGCCCCATCTGTGGTCATCAGGAAGGCGGGGCAGGCCGGTTGAGAAGTAAAGCCCTGATCAGCCCTGATCGCCGGCCAGGCCTAGGGACCCCACCTATGCATGAATTTCGTGCACCAGGCCTCTAGTTTTTTATTAAAACTCTCAGCAAAGTGAGGGGTCATACCTCAACATAATAAAGGCCATATATGACAAACCTACTGCCAACATCATACTCAGTGGGCAAAAACTAAAAGCATTTCCCTTAAGAACAGGAATAAGACAGGGTTGTCTGCTTTCACCACTCTTAATCAGCAGAGTACTAGACGTACTAGCCACAGCAATCAGACAAGGAGAAAAAAATGAAAGGTATCCAAATGGGAAAGGAGGAAGTAAAAGTGTCATTATTTGCAGATGACATGTTATTGTACATAGAAAACCCTAAAGACTCCACCAAAAGCTACTAGATATAATAAATGAATTTGGCAAAGTAGCAGGATACAAAATTAACATCCATAAATCGATGGCATTTTTATACACCAATAATGAACTCTCAGAAAGAGAAACTAAAAAAATATATATGAATCCCATTTACCATTGCAACAACAACAACAAAAAAGTTACCTTGAAGTAAACTTAACCAAGGAGGTAAAAGATCTGTATTGGGAAAACTATAGGACATAGAGAAAAGAAATAGAGGAAGATACAAACATGTGGAAGCATAGAGCGTGTTTGTGGATTGGAAGACAACATAATTACAATGTCCATACTATCCAAAGCCATCTATAGATTCAACACAATCCCTATGAAAATACCAACGGCATATTACACAGATCTAGAACAAATACTCCAAAAATTTATATGGAACCAAAAAGAGCCCGAATAGACATAGCAATGTTGAGAAAGAACAAAGTAGGAGGGATCACAATACTGGATATCAAATTATACTACAAAGCTATTGTAATCAAAACAGCCCAGTGTTGGCACAAGAACAGGCATATATATCAATGGAACAGAACAGAGAACCCACAAATTGACCCAAAATATTTTACAAAAGAGGTTACTGAGACTCTAGAAAAAGTAACTTGCACAAGGCTGTACTGTTGTTATTAAAATTCAACATAACTGAGATTTGCACCCACGTCCCTCAGACACCAGAGCCCTCTGCATGCTCTTTCCACCAGCTGCTCTGCCTCCAAGGCTGTCTTATTTGAAGCAGTGGAATTTTTTAAA